CGGGAACGCGCCTTCACATGAATAGTGAACCGATTATAGAAACTATTATATGCAACGTATTATAAACTTTCAAAACAAACTTCAGTTCACAATCTTTCAAATTATCAAATTCCCAAACTCTAAATTCTCAAATTCTCTGAAAATGAGTCGTCTTTCTGCTGTTGTTTTGTATGATGGAGAAATTAAGGAAGCTGAAGAGGGGGTTGTTTTTGAGTCAGATCATTATATCCCCTTAACCTTGAAGAGAAACATCACAATTGAGGAGTTAATCACAAAAATTTCGTTAAAGATTCGTGTAGCAGGCCAGAGAAGACTATCTTCACTTCAATACAGATTTCCTACTGAACTTTTTCCGCTCACGTATACATCATTTCAGCTTTCAAACGATGATGATGTTTCTATGATGGTTGATGCTCATATGGGGAGTTCACAATCTCTTATTGAAATGTATGCCACTTTTATTGAGGTTCGTGTAACTCGTGGTCTCTCATATTCCTCTCACTTTGGCATTGCATATCAAACTGATCAAGTTGATAGCCCGACACAACTTATCTGTAATGATTTCACATCATTAATGGCGGATCCAACGCCATATACCATGCCATCAAGTTCAATAGGAAGGCATTCATCTGCAACTGCTTATGATCTCAACCCACGTGGCTTCACCAATAATCCATATGGCAACATCTCTTCTACTTCAAGGGGCAGACATTCATCTGCCAATGTTTTCGACTTACATATGGAAATGCCAACGAGACGACAGTCTATTCACATCCCACATGATACAATGGCCTCAAGTTCAAGGGGAGGACACGCAAGCGGGAACTTATTTGACCTCAACATTGTATTATCGGAGGAACCCTCATCTCCACCAGAAGAACCTCTTCGGGAGCCAGGTGCAGATGGTGCTGAAACGGGATTATTCGTTGAACCTGACTCACCACAGTTTAACGTACATTCTGATGATGACGAGGATGACGTTCCGATAAATACAACACCAGCCGAACTTCCTGCACATATGTATGAGGCTGATTATGATGCAATGTATGAGCCTGAATTTCCAGATCTTCCTGATGTTGGAAACTATGGACTTCAATCATCAGTCAATGACGGTAATTTACATATTGGAATGGAGTTCGCATCGAAGGAGGAAGCAATGATGGCAATAAAGAGTTACAATATTCGTAACTCAGTTCAGTCCCGAGTTGATCGATCTAACACGGAGAAATATGTCTGCTACTGCGTCCAACGTCACAACGGATGTCAATGGATGGTCCGTGTATCAAAGAGGAAGAGGAAGAACAACTTATGGGAACTAACCAGATACAACGGTCCTCATACATGTTGTGCAACAGGTATAAACCAGGATCATCCCAACTTGGACTCCAACATTATTTGTCAAGCAATCATGCCCATTGTGAAGCAAAGCTCTCATATAGCTGTTGCAGTGTTGATTTCTGCTATACAGTCCCAATATGGGTACATTGTCTCATATAAAAAAGCGTGGTTGGCAAAACAGAATGCCATTTGCAAACTTCATGGCGAATGGGATTCCTCTTACAACGAGCTGCCCAGTTGGTTTCATGTTGTGCAAAGACTTAATCCCGGGACAATTGTTGAGTTCGAAACTCAACATCATTACGTGAATGATCGAATGGTTCGCGATCGCTGCCAATTTTACCGAGTCTTTTGGACTTACCCTCAGTGTATTAATGCAGTCAAGTACTGTAAACCAATTGTCCAAATTGATGGTACTTTCTTGTATGGGAAATACAAGCAAGTTTTATTATTGGCTGTGGTCCAAGATGGAAACCGCAATATTCTTCCTGTTGCGTTTGCCCTCGTTCAAGGAGAAGACACTGAGTCTTGGGCTTTTTCCTTAAAAATTTACGTTTACATGTTGTCACCAGGGAACGAGTATGCATTATTTCAGACCGAGGAGCGGGATAAAAGCAGCAATGGACTCTTTGGGTACAATGTATAGACCTCCACATGTTCAACATCGTTATTGTGTCCGTCATATTGCTGCAAACTATTACGGAAAATACAAGAAGAACGATGAACGTCAGTTCGTCGTGCGGATGGGTATGTTACTTTTTCCCAATTTTTCTATCAATTTCTTATTACTTATTTATACTTCATATTAACTATTACATATTCCTAATGACTTAGGTTACGAACTCTTACCTCAAAGGTTTGAGTCGATGCTACAAGAGCTGTTTGGCAAAAATAAGAAAGGGTGCGAGTACATTATGGACATCAGCAAAGAAATGTGGACAAATGCATATGACGGGGGGTATCGCTATGGTCATATGACAACAAACTTGGCTGAAGCAATAAATTCAACCTTAAAGGGGGCGCGTCATTTACCAGTCACGGCGTTGGTCAAAACGACTTATTTTCGTTTGGGTCAACTCTTTGCAAAACTCGGTGGACAAGCTCTTACTTGGATGCAAAACGGACATATTTACCACCCAAGACTAGTAGCCGATTTACAGAAAAAAATGGCTACATCAAATGGGATGTTAGTTACAAATTTTTCTCGCACCCGTGAATTGTTTCGTGTAACCGAAATGCCACGTCCGCTGCAAGGGATTGAAGCTAACTCTTTCAGAGTTAATCTGCAAGAGAGGTGGTGCGATTGTGGTTTCTTTCAAGCACTCAAATATCCATGCTCTCATGTCATTGCTGCTTGCTCACATTCGCATTTGGACTACAAAAATTATGTTGATCCCGTATACCAACTTTCACAAGTTTTCAAGGTATATGAATTTGAGTTTCCGCCCATAGGAAACGAAAGAGACCCAAATGAGATTCAAACTTGGCTTACAATTGTCCCAGATCCATTGCTATTGAGGGACTCAGGTCGTCCAAAATCTACTAGAATACATTGTGATATGGATATTCGGGAGAAGTCAACAGAACAAAAACGATGTGGGCATTGTAGAAACATCGGGCACAATAGAAAAAAATGTCCAGCTCTGTTATCATCATATAACCGTTAACTCTTATGTAATTAAAGTTTTTAAATGAATGTTTTATTTCTAATAATTTAATGTTATTGCATTTATATAATTTGTCAATGTATGTACACCTAAATAATTTTTTTTAACTTTAAATACATAAATATATTTAATATTTATTTAATATAATATTAATATTATTAGTTATAATTTTTACATTATAATCGAAACATTTTACATAATATAATCGAAACATTTTACATAATATATTATTAATTTATAATAATAATAAAAATAAACTATTTATTATAAAACAAAATACGTGTCTGCTGAGTTGGCAAAGGCGCGTCCCCGGGGACGCGCCTTTCACACGTGGCATCCAACTCAGCGAAAAACCGGGTAAAGCGCGCCCCGGGGACGCGCCTTTGCCAACTCAGCAGAAAGGGTGCTAGTTTTGAAAATATTGGTCGAACGGTGTTAGAAAAGTAAAAATAAAAACAAACGGTGTCAGTGGGGTAAAATCACCCTATAACTCTCGTATGGTCATCTCTTCACCTTTAAGTTGAACCCTGACTAATTGTATGACTCATCCACCTTCCCGTCGTCGTACCATTAGCAGGCCTCAGAAATAGGTTGGGTATCATTTGTTGTCCAGAATCAAACTATATCATCAATAACTCCTGCCCCTTGAACCTCAGTATCACTCGTTCATCTACCTTTTGTCTGTCGCTCGTCCTTAAACTTCTTCGCACTTCAGCAATCATCAATTCATCATACAGTATGGAGTTTTTATATCCATGTGCTGTACATTGCATTAAAGCTTTCTGCTACTGATTAAGTGTGTCATGGAGACAGTGACATATTTTATCAGATACATTTTTAAAAGACAACTACTATAATATGTCTTCACTTATGACACGTCATATCAAGAAATAACTTTTTAGTTATTAAATTAAAAAAACAATCTTTTTCAACAATACTATTCTATTAATAGTCTCGTTCTGACCATTTCAATATTATTTATCAATTTTTTTAACAAAATAAACCAACCAACTTTGAAAATAAAAAGAGTTCACTGCCAAAAAAAATTTAACTTAAATCTCCATTATGACTAAAGAAAACAACTTTATAGACTACTAACTTAGTCAACTAAAAAAACAAATAAAGCTTGGAAAATATGTTTGAATCAATAATTTAAGAGATATGATAAAAACAAATAAAGCTTGGAAAATACGTTTGAATCAATAATTTAAGAGATATGATAAAAACAAATATTACCTAATTTAAGACAGGAAGAATGTAATACCTGTCACTGGGACCTAACTTTCGGCTTAAGCATTTGATTAAAGGATAAATTACACTTTAGTATCTAAAGTATTAGTTTTGTTCTGTTTTAATACCTAAATTTTATTTTATTTTCAAAATCATACATAATATTTAGTTTAGGTTTTATTTTAGTACACGTCGTTACCATTACCGGGTATCAAAATGAGACATAAACTAAATTTTATGTAAGATTTAAAAAAAATAAAGTTTGAGTAATAAAAAGAACAAAAAATAATAGTTTAAATATTTAATATGTAGTTTACGCTCGATTATATAACCCAATTGCCGGCTCCTAATTATTCCTTAAAAATATACATTTCAATATTTTATCCTTATATAATTTTTTATTAATTATTTATACCGATAGTAATTTCATGATTATTGTATTGAGTTTTACAAATTATTGATTTCGATATATAATTTTTTATTAGTCTATGTTTATAATATAATATTTGTCTGAAAGACTCTCAACTATTTGATAATAAATATTCAAATACTTCTACAGACGTTGTGCTTGAACCCGAAAACTCTAGGAATAACAATAATCATTTCAACAACTGAGATCATTTGATTCATGTTATATTCTTTTATATATATATATATATATATATATATATATTATAATACTAAATCCACTTTATCAAATAAAAGAAAAACTGTAACACTTTATAAACACATTAAACAACCTGAAAATGAGGAGGACATGCATCGGCATTGAAATTAAACTACGTAGTTTGGATACAACCAAGTCCCTAAACTAATCAAAGTGAAATATATAACACTTCACCACATTTTAAGACTTGGTTTTTTAGGTGGCGAGTGCGTACAACTCAATATTAATAATGTTGTTTATAATAATATCATACACTAATGGTGCGATAAGTAGTGGGGATTGTTGATCTCAATCTACGAAGCTCTTCTTCTCTTTAATGGCCGGATCTTGTAGTAAAACCACTTTGTCTTTGTCTCCAACACCAACCATGTGCAAGTATTCATCATCTTCCCTTTCTTTCCCTTTGAATAACACCCTTTGCTCTCTTGGCTCCATACTTGTCACCAATGACAATATCATCTTCAACTCCCCTGATAATTTAACCAAATTTCCCATCAATATACCATCCATAAATACTAATTCGATTACAGATATTGATATTAAACTTTATGCATTAAACACTTACCGAAAGTGGAAGTTGGTTCGATGGAGATATCGTGCCATTGGGAGACGGTCGAGACTCTAACGACGATCGTCCCTTCTCCGGCACTCGAACCGGACTCTCTCCTCTGAACGAGCATCCCACCGGGCCTAAGTTCCCATTTGATTTCACTGTAATTATTATTATTATTGCAGTTTCCGACGACACCCTTTTGATAACCACCTTTGACGTTGTTTCCTCCATCTCCATTGCCAAACTTGAAGCTGCCTCTGCAGAACTTCTTAGACTTAAACTTCATCATTTTGCTTCTTGTTGTTTGAACAGCTGAGATGGATGTGTTTATCAAAGAGTTTAAGCAGGTATAGAGATGAGAAGAGAAAGTGTAGGGGGTTATATATAATAGAGAAGACAAATCGGATGAATGAAGGTAGCACATGGGCGGTGGGTGCCTATGGAACACGCTTGCTGATTAGCGGGCCAACCCCGCAACACATCATCCAAAACATAGGTCGGCGGCCAAGTATATATTGCTCATCGATTTTATGGATTTTAGGAATATTTCTCATGGGTCTATTGGGATCCCTTTATTTAAAATAAAATTTTATATGTATCAATAAATGTTAGTATTGATCAAAATAAATGGAGATGTATTTAAATTTTAATCTAAATGATACTTAAATTATTTTATATTAATTTATGCTCGATACAACTATGAACAAACATAAACTTTTACGCTAATGTGTAAATTTTAAAAATTTAAGGGGACTAAAATAAATTATCAACAAAAACTATAAAAAAATATCTAAAATATATGAGAATTTATAAGGTTAATCTGATCCAATTTTTTCTACCGCAATATAAAGATGATGGAATATCAATGTGCAGAGAAAAAGACCAAATCCAGCTTGTCTTAGGCTTTATAACTTGTTTATTTACGGTTAAGTTTCGCTAGGTAGGTCTTGTCTTTTGAGATGTCTTGAGGGTTTACTTTTTGATGTATGGGTGGTTAGCTATTTTATATGGTTTGCAAACTCTCAACCCATGTGGGAAGAAGAGATAAGGATTCCATTTTTATCTCTCATATATATATATATATATATATATATATTGTGTTGCTAAATTAAAGGGGTCATTATTTTTCTTTTTTTGTCTTGTTAATTAAATTAATGCAATTACATATTTAAATATTGTCCATTATGAGTGAGTTTCAATTCTCATCATATACTCCTATAATTCTGATGGAAGTTGATAATGACAGCCCACATGTATTGTAAGAGAAAAGACGTAGCAAACATGGACGGCGGTTGAATTTTGGTTTTCCTTATTTTATTCATGCAAAAACTCATTACAATGTAAGCTTTTAGTTTCCGATCACATTTCCTTTTTTAAATAAAATAAAACATCAATAATAGAGAGATCTATATAAAAAAAAATGAAATATAAGGGATTTTATATTATGCTCCACGACAAATCCACGTGTACACAAAACGTACGATCCATATTACTCCACGTCATCAAACCGATATTAAAAAGTCCACCCAATCCACGGCAATGCAGATGCCAAAACTAAAATTCCCCAAAGTACGCCTCTTTATCACCCGGCTGTCACTTTATATTCAAAGCCCATTTCAGTCATTTAATAAATAGATAAAATAATAAAATCTCATAAATACTATTTTTTTTCAACTGCCACTGCGCTTTTCGTTTTCCATTTTTCATTTTCCTTGAACAATGGTGACCAGCTCCGGCGGCAAGGATTGTGATGGACCGTCCCTACGCCAGTGAAGCGGAAGCGAAAAAGGTGGAGCCGAAAGCTAGCGGCGGTACCAACATGAAAACCTTCCAAATTTACCGATGGAACCCGGAGATGAGAGAGCCCTTCGAAACCCCAACTACAAGACTTCAAAGTCGACTTAAAAGAATGTGGACCCATAGTGCTCAATGCCCTAATCAAAATCAAGAACGAGATGGATCCGACGCTCACTTTCCGTTGCTCCTGCCGTGAAGGAATCTGCTGTTCTTGTGCAACGAACATCAACGGCTGTAACGGGTTAGCTTGTCTTACCAAGATTGATTCTGGAGCGTCGGAGACGACGATCACGCCGTTGCCACATATGTTTGTGATAAAAGATTTGGTGTTGATATGACCAACTTTTATAATCAGTATAAGAGTACTGAGCCTTGGTTGAAGAGGAAGAATCCGCTGGCTACGGCGGGTAAAGAGATTCCGCAGTCTAGAAAGGATAGAGCGAAGTTGGATGGAATGTATTGAGTGTATTTTGAGTGCTTGTTGCAGTACAAGCTGTCCAATTTATTGGTGGAATCCTGAATCTTATTTGGGTCCTGCTGCTTTGCTTCATTCTAACAGGTAATCATAATAATGATCCTTTTCGGGGGGGGGGGGGGGATATATATACATATATATATAATATATGGTTTTAAAATCGTTTTTGAAAATATATATATAGTATACAATTTTGAAAATATTGTTCGAAAATATATACAGTTTTGAAAACATTTTTAAAATATATATAATATATAATTTTGAAAATATTTTTAAAAATCTATATAATATATAATTTTGAAAACATTTTAGAAAAATATATAATATATAATTTTGAAAACATTTTTAAAAAATATAATATATGATTTTAAAAAAACATTTTTGAAAAAATATATATAATATATAGTTTTGAAATCATTTTTCGAAAATATGTATAATATATAATTTTAAGATGTTTTTGGAAAATATATATAATATATTTTAGAAAACGTGTTTGGGTTTTGAAAAATATTTTTTTTCGAAATATATATACATTTTTATTTATTTTTATTCTTATTTTTATTTTAATTTTTTAGGTACAATAAAGTCCATCAGGAAGCCCAATCGGGTAAGTCTGACCCTACAGACTCGGATTAGGTGGGCCTCACCTATCCTAGAATCCTGAAATTAGGGTTTTATATCCAGCCAACGGCGTCGCACGGGAGTGCGGGTGGAGTCACACGCTCGAACATATCGAGCACCGGCCGAATTTCTCAACCCTTAAATAAGGAATCAGAACAGTAACCGACCGAAGATAGGGACTACCATCCCTAAAACTCCGGCCAACAATACATGAAAAAATCGAAGCAAGTAACCCACGAATCCCCTCCCGATTAGGACTAAAAACAACCTAAAATCGAGGCTCCGACGAGACCAAGCAAAGGACAAGAAGCATACAAGAGAAATACTATAAAAAACCAGCAAATAACAAGGAAATCATTCCCAAGCTATAACAACAGAAGAATCCACAACAACATCGAATAAACCCGAGCAAAATACACCAAAAATATCAAAACCCCAAAGTAAAAATCAAAGCAAAAAAATAGTTCAAAGTAGAAAAGCAAGGATATCATCGGTTGCAAGGGAAGAGTCGCCGTCGAGGAAAGCAAACGGCCTCCAAAGAATCGAAGGGTCGCTGGAGCTAAAATGTAAAACTGAATAATTTCGACTTAGATTTATGCCGAGGGGATCTTATTTGATGATTTGATCGGTAAGGTTAGATTGGGGGTGGATAGGGCTTTCGAACGAGTTAGGATAGAGTGCTCCGGCCACCGGGCGACGTCGGCCGGAGCGATGGTCCATACGACGAATTTGACACCGACTGGTAGTCGGGTTTCGACCAGTTTAGGAAGGAGGGGAGAGAGCTAGAGAGAAGGGAGATAATATTGAATGTGAGAAATGAGGAAAATGATAATTATTTTGGGTTTCAACGACTATTTATAGGAGACCTTTGTGTAATTACAAGATTTTTAAATTATTTCTGTCGTCCCTGAAGGTTTGATGTGTAATTCATTTTGGTCACTTACCGCAATTTTTCCTATGAATTTTCAATTAATTCGATTTAGTCCTTGTTTCTAATTTATATTTTTTGCAATTTAACCCCTCTAATTTTTATTTTTTTTATTGCAACACGTATTTAGCATTAATTAGGTCCCTTAACTTTAATTTTGTTTCAATTTTATCCTTTCATTTTATATTCTTTTTTTTTTAATTTTTTTTTTATATTTATTTCACGATCTAATAATTTTTGACTTTTTTAAGGGCACTTCTAATTGATCAAAGGTAAGTAATTTGAATCGAGTCTTTAAATTTTAATTTTAATTTTCGCAATTAAGACAACCGAGAAATTAAAATGGTACCGAAAGGGTAGTTCAAGGGTGTTAATCCTTCATTGACTGTACCCGACTCCCAAATCCATCGCATTTCCGGTAAAACACATATCATGTAAGATGGTGTCTGATCAATCAAATTTTTCATAAAGAGAACTGCAACAGATGATAATGATGATGAAGATTATTGATAGATAGTTGTCCTACGAACCCTCCTAGCCACAATTGATTAGAAAAACTCGATAATCGACTCTAACCAGTCCTCCTAATCGAAATGAGAAGGCAAACCGGAGTGTGAAAATATTCCTCACAAAGAAATTAAAAGAACTTAATGAAAAGAAGCTTCGAAGGCACAAGTTAATCAATAATTGTAAAAACGAATTATTTTTGTATTATTAATAAAGATAATAGTTCTACTTGATGATTTCATCATTTGAATCTTAAAAAAGATAATGTTGCCTTCGGATAACATTATCTTTATTATTTTATATAGGATGTTGCCTTTTCAAACGTTCCTGCAACAATATCTTTTTACCTCAGATATGTTCTACTTGATGATTTCGTCATCTGAATCTATAAATAAAATAAAAGTAACTTTGAGTGTTGTTTGCTGCTGTACTTTTTGTTCCTGAATAACATTGAATTTTTCTTCAGGCCTCTGAAAAAGGATGGGGAACATTGTAAAACTTAAATGAATTTATATAATTCATTGAAGAACATAATCATCATATATAGCACAGTAAATGTAAAGCAGATGGTTTATATTGAGACTTACCTGTTTTCTTCTAGCAGCTCTTTCTTCAGTTCTCAAACTGAAAGATGCAAATATACCAGGTGACCGTGATTTGTTTCTGCAGCCGCTCAAAATCCTTGAACAACTGCCAAAAACAAAACAAAAAGAAAGTTATGACTTCAAAGTCCCTTTTGAATAACCATTTACAGGTAGTTAATTTGACTGAACAATTCGCAGTAATCAAAGAGAAAAAAAAAGTGTCTTACTCTGTTGGAAGAAAGCTCCATCTTCCATGGGCTGTTTTGCTGACACTGGCCGAGGAATCAACTGTTGTTCTAGCACTGTAGTGCATGCATATGAGATAGGGGTTTTAAAGATAATGTTCCAAACGTTTCCTAGTTCCAGTAACTAGACTCTTTTCTTAGTTTAATATCCGATTATACCTTCGGTTTTCAGACCAAGGGGTGGCTGAGGATTGTTTCAGTTTTCCACTTACAGAAGCCTGCAGTACATAAATGAAACCGAATTCTTCAACAGAGTACTGAAACTAGAACACAATAGTAGTGGAACCTTGTTTGGAGTCCTTAAAGGTGTTGGACATTCTTTACATGCTTTAGAGTTTGAGTCGATTCTTGAACCATCAATCTTCGTGATGATTGTGGAAGTCAATTTACTGAGTTCTTTGCAGGGATGAAGTCAATAGGCTTGTGGCTTGATTTTGGTGGTGATCTCGTTCTTTCAGATATACCAATTGCAGGCTTCTTGGCCATTGGAGTGAGATTGTTTCCATTGTCGGGACGAAGTGGAGCTTTGAATTTTGCAGGTGAAGATGGAACCTTGGATGTCCTTGCATTAGCTGACACCTTTGAGGAAGAATGTGAAGGTTTCCTCTTGCTTGTTACCTCAAATTCATCTTGATTTGTTTTGCCATGCTGCATCACAGCAGTAACAATGTAGAGGTTTCTCCATTTGAGTTCCTTCACTGAGCTCCAATTCTTTATTATATTCACCAGCTGACACCTTTGAGGAAGAATATGATGCTTTCTTCTTGCTTGTTACCTCAGATTCATCTTCATTTGTTTTTCCACTCTGCATCACAGTAGCAACAACGTAAAGCTGTCTTACTCGGATTCAGGTACTAACATATCAATATCCCAAGTTTTTCATATAATTAGAGGATCATACTCATGTTCGAAAATATATCAAAACAAAGAGTGACAGAGAATGATTTACCTTAAGTAGAGGCTTCTCCATTTGAGTTCCTTCACTGAGCTCCAGTTCTTTATCATATTCAGGCAGTTTTGTCTGGTTAACTTGAACACAATTGTTCTTCACGTGGGTTGTTTCTTTAACGTCCAAATCTCTAATTTCAGCCTTAGAAACAACCCCGTTCTTTTCAAAAGATTCATTGTTCATATTATTATCCAAAAGAACCCGGGGTTCATCAACTGAATCAGCTCCTACACCCATATTTCTGCTCCCAATCTTCACAAATTCTGAACTATTCTCTTTTCATTCATAAGTGGAGCCAGTTTCTGCACTTGAGGGCTTGTCTTCTTGGTGAAGGGCCTCAGTTTCAGTAGCAGCAGCAATTTTAGCTTGTTCGAGCATGGCGGCTGCTTTCCTAGCAGCAAGGGTCTTATAAAGAGCTTCAAAGAATGCTTTCTTTTGAGCCACTGAACTAGGCCTCGCATATCTCTCGGCTTCTTCAACATATTTGTTACGAGAAAACGTCGACCACTTCTACCAAGACAAGGATTCTGACATGAATCTCCCGAATGATATAGACTGTCCAAGTTCATGAACCGGGTTTCCCTGAAGAAAAAAACCCATTTTTGAAAATTTGGAATGTTTTTGAGTTCAAAATATAAAGGAAGAATCTTTAATGATTATGAATGAATTATTTAGCATAATTTTATATGATAATGCATGGAACTGACCTCCTTGGAGTCTCCCATGTCTGTTTCCAAACCACAAATGATCCATATCTTTAACAATTACTCTATGCAGTGTCTTCCTTCCACTGAACAATTGAGTGAGAAAAAAAAAACATTTAAATTTGAAATTCAAATGATAATAGTACTAGTGGAGGCCATTGGAGATGAAAAAAGTGAAGTTCAGATTTTCAGACCAATATTTTATTATCTAAAGTGGGGTCATAAAACGAACGAGCTTCCATCCTTAAACAGGAGAAAGATTCAGCTTCATCTTGGGGTCCACTTGTTGAACAACTTCATAAAAAGTATTTTAACGTCTTTCATAATTTAAGGGCAAACCCTTATTTAACTACCCATCTATTCTACGATTTTATTTTCATCACCTAAATATTTTTTAAATTATACATAATGTTATGTTTTGATTACTTATGTTGACACTTAAATTGACGTATTACTATGATAATGCCACATCATTAAAAAAATAAAAAGATGATCAAATTAACAGTTTTATTTATTTTTTAGTGATGGGTGACCAAAATGTGGCTCTAGTTATGATTTTGAAACAAAAAATTGATTACTTATGTTGACACTTAAATTGACGTATTACTATGATAATGCCACATCATTAAAAAAATAAAAAGATGATCAAATTAACAGTTTTATTTATTTTTTAGTGATGGGTGACCAAAATGTGGCTCTAGTTATGATTTTGAAACAAAAAATAATTAAATGACCAGAATTGTAAGAATAGATGAGTAAATACATAATTTATCCTTAATTTAAAGAGAAACCCAGATATTTGGGGCAATTCGAATTTGTATACAGAACAAAAACCAACACTATACACGTTTTCAAGTTTGGTCTGTATTTGGAAATTTTTTTCAAGCAAAAGGAACATATATGCTTTCGAACTTAAATTTGCACAATGATTTTTGGCATTTTCCTGAACACGAAGTGAAAGATGTTAGGTTTCCATGGATGTTCCAAGTTGAACAACCAGTGGTTGAAACATCAAAAACTATGTCCACTTCCAGGGATTTGGGGATTGCATTGTTGGGAATTCTTGTAGGTTTTGCTTACAATCCGCCATCAAAATCATAAGCCGGAAAACACCACAGTAAAACAGCAGCAGACTTTCGGGTTTGCCGATCACAGTCGTTCGATTTTAAGAATCATGTATAACATCTTCTCCTGTTTGTGTTACTTGTACCTTTCGATGTTCTCTTGCTTGTATAACTGGAAAACATCACTAACATGACTAATGTAAAACCTATCCCGGAAACACCCATAGAAGAATGATCCAGAACCTTAAAGTACTAAAGAGTTCATTCAGAACTTCAGTAAGAGATAATTCTCGAGAATGATTTCTGTTCTTTGTTCTCTGATTTTGGATCGGATAAGGTAGTTGGGTCAGGGTAGTTTCTTCTCTTGTGATGCAGACATAATGCTTCGTTTAATGTTTTTGCTCATTTGACGGTAAGCAGGTCTCATCGGTTTGTTCAAGTGTTGAAGGATCAGGAGGGTCTGGGAACATATCCCCGGCATCGGTTCCCCATATCGACATCTCTCCAGTTCACCTTATCAAAGCTCCAATTCCCGACTTTAAATTCCAAGTCATAGTGGAAAACTCGGTACTTCACACTGGGTTGAGGAACATTACCTGGATATATTAAAATTAAACGCAAACAGCAAATCAATTCATCAAAGCAGAGATGAGTAGAAGTTGACTGAAAATGATACCTCAGCTGCACCGGACACTGATCCACCGAGATGCGTATATATATCTCCAGTTATGTTTGTTGCATAATGAACTCTGTCAGCTCAGGCCTCCCCGGTTTTAAGCAACGACAGCAGAGTGAATTCCTGAAGATTATCAATATGAATGATTATAACACCTCCAACACTGTCGCAAGAATCAGGATGGCCGGTATGAAGTTTCACAAGCTCATTGTAACATCCAACAAGGTACCTATCATGCAAAGCCATAAAATAAGTAAATCAAGTTCATCCAAACATAGAGGGAATAGGATTCACAAACGGTAATCTAGAAATAACTTGAAGAAAGACGTTAATCCTTGTTCTCCTTGACTTACTCGTAAGGGGTTTAAACGGCCACGTGCTGCATTGAACTCCCACGGTGTAATCGGGCCTCTAAAGATCATGTCAGCATCAAGAATAGCTGTGAACTCTGCATCAACAATAATGGCTATTCCAGTGACCTGATTTAGGAAGTGGGTTGGTCCTCAGAACATGGCAAAGATAACAGACTCCAAATGGTTAACACTAGTTAACCAAACCCTTCTCCAACTATTCATGCTCAATAAACCGATTATTAACCCTTTTATTCTTCAAAATCCGGTCAGATTCCTTTACCAGGTGTAATATTTCTTCCTCGCAACTAAATTGGATCCCATTTGCATATTCTACATTTACTTGAACTCGTTTTTAGTATTATTACAGATATAAAAGCTACACAACATGAATCATAGAAAATTTACTCGCTCATGCCATGGAAGAAAAAAAAAAGGAAAGAAAAGAGATTAAGCAACATATCATTCTGATTATCTGAATATTTCAAGAAAAAATGAAGGGTTGGAGCAAAAAGAATATTAACAGTGACTGCAACAAAAATGGAGTTACAATAGCCAAGTTTGAATCACTCCATTTCCAAGTTCCTTAACGATTTCTTTTGAACTCAACATGTATCATATAATAAAATTGGAGCTAGAAAATTAATAAATTCATTATGTGTTTTAAAAGAACGAAAAAATGAAAGAAATCATTGTTTAGGGATAAGTTTGTTAATTCTATAAATTAGTAAGGACTTGGATTATAATTTTTGTTGTGACAAGGATAAGTGTTTAAATCATTTCAGAGGAAAATTAATCGAATAATAATATGTAATTTATTCATTGATATTATCAGTTGCTGGATATAGTAATTAATGTACATCTGTTTCATTTGTTATATATATATATATATATATATATATATATATATATATATATATATATATATATATATATATAAATAAATTATAAATTTTCAAATGTAATAAAATTATAAACATATTATTGTAACCCTACCTATCACATTTCAACACTTCTTCTTATGTTTATTACTTTTTTTTGTATTTATTAAATTTATTTTAGTTTATATAATATGTTTTATCGTATCAAAACTTATAATAAGATTTAGAAGTATCTAAATGATCAATCATAAAATAGTAGTACTTGACATATTGTTTTTTTTTTGGTGATTCATACTAAATAAATAAATAAATGTAGTGGATGATTAAGAATCATAATGAAAAAAAACCCAAATATTTCTTACAAGTTAACTTCACCCTAATAAATTAACAAAAACAATTAAGAAATTTTAAAGGTCAAATTGTGTCATCAATCCCTATACTATATTTAAATTATAACTTTAGTTTTACTCTAACTTAGTCAATTTTTTTTGAATTTTTAAATTTCAATCTCGGTCTAAACCTACATAGACAATAGAATTAAATTATAGGATTTAAAATAGTGAAATTAAAGAACAATTACTAAAACTTGTGTATAGTACAAGAACTAATATTAAAATTTAACTTAATAAATTTAAGAGTAAAATATATAAATAGCCTCCTAAATATAGGATGCTCTTAATTCAATAGTCTTTTTCTTTAAATATTCAATTAAGCCCAATTCTCTCACAATTAAGCTTAAACTTGTGTAAGAGTTTAATTATACTATCAAATCGATCCACATATATCTTGTGTAAACTATCATACGTTGACTTAGAAATTCGGGTAATTATAGTATTTAAATGTGGTTGGCTAAATTTTTAGAATTAGGATCAAATTAAAACAAAGGGTAAAGTTTGAGGATCAAATTTATTATAATACGGATCTTATTAACCGACATGTCACATACCGTTAAATTTTTAACAGCATCTGACTATCATTTACTTTTTTTTAAGTCGAATGAGTATTTTGTAAGTTTTCATAATCGAAAGACTCAAGAAAAACGACATATAGTTGAAAGATCATTTATATACCTTACCTTAAATTTAATAATTATTAGTTGGATCATTTATATACCTTACCCCAAATTTAATAATTATTAGTAATATGATGGAGTTGTCAGCAGGCATAGTCTAACACTTAGTTAATACTAATAGTCAAGATATATATACCAAACTGATGTTTGATTTTCATTTTTAAAAGAAAAATGACTTTGACGTGTAAATTGCTTAGTGTCCTAACTTATTAGGCTGTATTAGCAAACTAAACATTTTGTATTTTTAAAAGGTTAAAATCACCTAATCATTGAAAGTTAAACTTTTCTATGGTTGGGTTGGTAATGTCTGCTTTACTTTCTCCACTGCTCTTCCTACATCCGACAGATTGCATAATCAACCATTTTATCTGCAAGTTGTTGTTTTAATTTGTTTTTTTTAAATTTTAACCTTAATTCATTTAATAGAAAGATAATATAAATAAATCATAGATGCTAAAAATGATTAAATTGAGGGTTTTTATACTATTAAAATTTAAAAGTTTTCTCTTTCCCTTTCACCTTAAAAAATAAACATATTAAAGGTTTTTATACTATTAAAAATTAAAAATTAAAAATTAAAATTTAATCTTTATATTTTATTTTGTTAAAAAATTGTCTTTATATTATTTTTTATTTGAAAATTTTAATACCTCCTTTGACTTCAGTTCAGCTTTACTATTAATTGTTGATCCTGCATATATAAAAATGAGGAAATGACTTTTTTAACCTATATATTTATAATTTTATCAATTTCATTCTTAATTATTAAAAATAAACAAAACAAATTACCATTGATTAAACAATAACTAAAAAGAATTATCATTAGTTGGTAAAAGATATAAACTTACATGACTAAAATAATTTAATTTACTACTTTTCTATAGATGTCATATCAGTAATTAACGAGAAAATTAAATAAAAATTAAATAAAAATCAAAATAATTAGTATATAATTTAATTTATAAAAATATAAAGATTAAATTTGAAATTTTAAAAATTCAAAATTCAAAATGGTATAAGAATATTTGGCATATTTCATTGAGGAAGTTGTATAATATATATACACCGATCAGCTTGCTTAAGCAAAGGATGGTATTTGTTTTATAATGATTGTCAAATCTGTCGTTGTAATTAGTTAAGTTGTCCATTCATACCATTTCTTAAATTGTACAAACAATTTGTATTTTCTGTTCCCATTTCTGGGCAAAATATTTTGGATGGGGTGATGAAAAAAAGAAGATTAATTGATATAAGATATTGAAAAATTATTTCAAACTAGAGTAATATGAATAGTGCACGGTGGATGACGTACGAAACACAACGTGTCTTTAGTTCCGTCGAGGAAAACGTATGAACTAGAGTGCGTCTTTAGATTAATTGATGTCTTATCTTTAGCACTGTAACAAGTGTTCTAATCGAAAAAATAATTTTCTCAATAACTTATATCAGCTAATTTTTTTTCCAACACCCCATTCAAATCAATTTACCCCATTTTTGTCATCTTGAGGTTTGGTTTAATATTCATAATCTCTATATCTATAATATATTATAAATATAGAGATTACGAATGATAAAAATATATGATACCATATTTATATTTTATTTTAAAATTTAGTAAACAAACTCAATTATTACCAAGTAATCATCATCTGTAGAATTATGATAAATCTAAATCAATTTTTAATTAAAATTTGAGTCAATATTTAATTAGATGATATATCTATTTAGTTTAATTTTATTAATATAAAATATGGTCTTTAAAAAAAAAGCAAAAAGTTCGTATAAGATGAGACTTTATCATGATTATATAGGATACAAGTTATTATCCCATGATGTGTGAGAAACTGGCAATACAAAAAAGATTTTTACAGTTTCACTATTACGTATCAAATCACAGAGAAAACTAACCTAAAAAACATCACTTTCTTGATAAACACAAACCATATTCATCGATCTGAATCATTTTTCTTTCTTCTCCTGTGAAATTTCGAAAGAAAATTATGTTTCAAATACCTATTTGGGTAATTTCCCAAGGAAGAAACGGATTGTCTTCTTCAACAGGAATAAAGCTATCATCCCATGACAGAAACGAATCAACACAATCAACCCATTGCTTTAAACAGTCTTCTTCTTGAGCCATTGAAAACGAAGACGTGTATGAAGAATGATCCAAGTCGAAGCCTCCACACAGCACGTCGTAGTCCTCTAAAGTCACTTGAATCTCTTCAATCTCCTTGCATGTGGATCCAGAAATAATTTCCGAACTTTCCTCGTGTTCTTTTTTACCGTCGGTTTTCTCGCCATTCTCGACAGGCTTGTGTGTCGCGGGGTCCAGACCAAGAAGCTTCAGCTTCTTCTTGATTTTGGTATTCCAGTGATTCTTGATTTCGTTGTCTGTTCTACCAGGAAAATGCGAAGCGATCTTAGACCACCTGAAAAAAAAAAATAAAAGTCGGCGATTATAACAAGGGACACAAATCTTCTAGATGTCTAAATCCTCTAAGAAGAATAATACTCCTTTTACTACTAAGATTATTTCACGAACACCGCGATGCATTATGTTCTTACCTGTTTCCGAGATGCGAATGAAGTCGAATAATCTGATCTTCTTCGGATTCCGTAAACGACCCTCTCTTAAGATCTGGTCTAAGATAATTTATCCATCTTAATCTGCAACTTTTCCCGCATCTTAAAAGGCCTGCATACAAGAAGAAAAACTCAACGTTTTGAGACCAAAAAAGCATAACCGCAAGCACTTGATATGCAAGAATAAGAACATTACCGGCAAGCTTTGGAACATTTCTCCAGCAAGGAATAGTTCCATTGTTGAATATAAAGTTCATCAGCTTATGATCTTCCTCGATCGACCAAGGACCTCGTTTTAATCCAACTTTATCACAACATGGTTTTCGTCCCATTTTCGAAAGGAAAAAAGCCTAGAAATCTAAAAAGGGTGTTAAGATGCTTCTAGCTGATGTTGAAGAAGAAGAAAAATTAAAGATGATGTCTTGAATTGAGACAATGGAAATGGTCGTCCAGATATATATAAATGAACCAAACGTTGGTCGTTTTCGTTGACAAATTTTATTCGTGCAAGAAGCCATTCTTCTCATTGGTTTGGATTAATTTATGATGAAAGGTTTAAAACAGTTGCTGGGATTTATCTTCCTGGACCCTTGTTGATGCTGGAGAGATTCCTTCACCTTATATCCAATGTGACCTCAAATTCCAACCATCAACCTATTATTTACATTATAAAAGTTGAGAACCAGATTATATGAATAAAAAAATTAAATTATAAATTTTAGGGTAAGCTACACAAATGGACATCGAACTTTTAGGGACCCAACTTTTAAAACTTGCAATACAATCATTGAACTGTTAGTTCGTTTTCAGTCAAGTCAGTGATGTTACCTCCCGTTAGTTTTGTCTGACATGACGTGTTACTGTTATTTTTAAGCTTAATAAATAATCTTTTTAACCCATTTCAACTTAATAAAATTTTTTCCTAACCCAAAATTAATTGAAAACTCTAAAAATTAAATTGGGACTAAAATACAAAATCAATTACAACTGAATCTTTTTTCCCTGTTTCGAACCCTATTGGGACTAAAATCACATCCAATATGACAAATAGTAATTCCAAAATATGAAAAGCCCCCAATTTCATATTCCAAAAGATTTAAATAAACTTCAGACAATTACGTAACACTTGAATCAAATCAGAAATAAAATTTCTAAACACATCAGAAACAACAACTTATCATTCACCACAATTGAACAAACCTTCGACTGAGTCTTCTCTCCCTCATTTTCATCCACTAACAGTCGATAATATGGAAAAAAGAAGAAGCCTAAATCAGAAAAGCCAAATTAAACATAATTTATCTATGTCATTTGATCAGTGAAAGAGTTTTAAACCCTTTTAACTTTTCTCAAATTTTATACGACGTCGTTTGAGAATATTTTTTAAATTTTTTATTAAACTGAAAAAATAACAGTAATGTGTCGCGTAAGATAAAACTAACGGGAGGTAACGTCATGGACTGTACTGAAAACGAACTAAAAGTTTGATGATTGTATTGCAAGTTTTAAAAGTTGAGTGACTAAAATGCAAGTACCCTAAAAGTTTGATGACCATTTATGTAGTTTACCCTAAATTTTAACATGATAAAATAAAGACGGAATCTGAAAATTAAGATTGCAGTAGTGACGTTAATTTTCTTGAAGGTATATTATTTACTTTTAAATTGATATCAAAATTATTTTAATACAGTCGATTTTATTTTTAGTATTTTTATATAATTATTTTATTAAAAAAATTCGGGTCATCTTATGACACCCTTATTCACCATGTGAATAGACTCGAGAGTAAAAATATGATAACCAAAGTAGACATAAAAGTCTAAGAAAAACAACTACAAATACTCTTATTCAAGGTGGTAATGAGAATGGTTAACTTAGGGATTGTCTCAGGAAAAGCGGGTTAATATACGGTATTACCGGATATATTAAAAGATATTTAATAAATTCGGTTTAGCGCTATCTATTATGTTGACAGACTAATAATGTTTTAGGTAGAAAACATGAAAAACTATTAAAAAAATTGGTAACCGGTAAACTTTGGTTATCGGTAAGTATCTATCATTTTTATAAAAGTGTCCATACTTTCAACATATCAGGTAAATTTTATCGGTTTTGTCATAATGAAACTGGTTTAGTCATATTTTTACCTGTTATATTGTAAAGTATTTATCATTTTTATAAAAGTGTCCATACTTTTTTAACTGTGGAAAACATTAATTTAAGGTTATCTTTTGAGTAAGTTTTAAGATATTAATTTAGTAATTATAGGCGTCTAATGATTTATTTTTTACGTTACGGTATATATTATCATTAAATTAAAAACAATAAACATATATATTACATATTTATTATTATCTTTGGTTAATATTGTTAAATTTAAATACTAAATAATATTTTATAAAATATCAAAACAATCAAATAATTTTTTGTGTAAATGAAATTATTAAATTAATATTGTAGGTGAAAAATATGAAACACTGTTAAAAAAAATTGAAACATAAATTACATATAACTTTAAAAAAAATATCGATCATTTTTATAAAAAGTATGGACACTTTAAATATAATAGGTAAAAATATGATGTAATAGGTAACGCTTATATAATGTAATAGGTAGCGTTTATATAATGTAATAAGTAGTGCTTATATTGTAAAGTATCTATCCTTTTTATAAAAGTGTCCATACTTTTTTAACTGTGGAAAATATTAATTTAAGGTTATCTTTTGAGTGAGGTTTAAGATATTAATTTAGTAATTATAGGCGTCTAATGATTTTTTTTACGTTACGGTATATATTATCATTAAATTAAAAAACAATAAACATATATATTACATATTTATTATTATCTTTGGTTAATATTGTTAAATTTAAATTCTAAATAATATTTTATAAAATATCAAAACAATCAAATAATTTTTTGTGTAAATGAAATTATTAAATTAATATTGTAGGTGGAAAACATGAAACACTATTAAAAAAATTGAAACATAAATTACATAACTTTAAAAAAAATATCGATCTTTTTTTATAAAAAATATGGACAATTTCAATATAACAGGTAAAAATATGATGTAATAGGTAGCGCTTATATAATGTAATAGGTAGCGTTTATATAATGTAATATGTAGTGCTTATATTGTAAAGTATCTATCCTTTTTATAAAAGTGTTCATACTTTTTTCACTGTAGAAAACATTAATTTAAGGTTATCTTTTGAGTGAGTTTTAAGATATCAATTTAGTAATTATATGTGTCTAATGATTTATTTTTTACGTTACGGTATATATTATTATTAAATTAAAAACAATAAACATATATATTACATATTTATTATTATATTTGGTTAATATTATTAAATTTAAATTCTAAATAATATTTTATAAAATATCAAAACAATTAAATAATTTTTTGTGTAAATGAAATTATTAAATTAATATTGGAGGTGAAAAACATGAAACACTATTAAAAAAAATTGAAACATAAATTACATAACTTTAAAAAAAGTATCGATCCTTTTTATAAAAAGGATCGATGCTTTACAATATATTAGGTAAAAATATGATGTAATAGGTAGCGCTTATATAATGTAATAGGTAGCGCTTATATAATGTAATAGGTAGCGCTTATATTGTAAAGTATCTATCCTTTTTATAGAAGTGTCCATACTTATTTCATTGTAGAAAACATTAATTTAAGGTTATCTTTTGAGTGAGTTTTAAGATATCAATTTAGTAATTATATGTATCTAATGATTTATTTTTTATGTTACGGTATATATTATCATTAAATTAAAAACAATAACATATATTACATATTTATTATTATCTTTGGTTAATATTGTTAAATTTAAATTCTAAATATTATTTTATAAAATATCAAAACAATCAAATAATTTTTTGTGCAAATGAAATTATTAAATTAATATTGTAGGTAGAAAACATAAAACACTATTAAAAATTGAAACATAAATTACATAACTTTAAAAAAAGTATCGATCATTTTTATAAAAAAGTATGGACACTTTCAACATATTATAATATAATAGGTAAATTTGCAATGTTATCGGTTTACTTATAAAATAGGTTAATATAAACGATACATATTACATTATATAAGCGCTACCTAATATGTTATTATACTTTATAATATTTTCGGTTAAATAATATAACATAACCGGTCTAAATTTTAACCGGTCACTTGTTTAACCGGTCACACCGTATATTAACCGTTTTTAGGCGCCGCACCGCAGAACTACCCGTTAACTTAGCAGTCAGTTTTTTAGAAGGTTTGAGTTAGAAAATAACAGAACTGAAATTAAAACTAAACCCACTCGTGTGTTTCTCGTTTGTTTGTTTTGCTGAACCAATTTTGTCCTGTTTCTCTTACCCTTTTAACTTTAATTAAAATAAAATTTTCACTGTTTTGGGTGGTTAAACGACTTGTAACTAATCGGAACTTTGGATTAACTTGAGATTAACCATTACTTTTGGCCATTAACAAACAAGATTAACAATTACTTGTCAAATTATTCTACACTTGAAACCAATGAATCTGGTGCCTTTTTTCACAATAAACTTATTTTTTTAACAATAATAAACTCCAATATTTAAAGAAAGGGATTAGACACAAATCAAGTAATTTTAGTGATTAAGAGAGTTATTGTTATTAAGTCTCAGGTTTGAGCATCGCGTAGGTAAGATATGAGCGTTTATTATTAAATGATTAAATTTTTTTGAACATATATTACTTTGCATTCACCCCATATTTATCAAATAAAAAAAAGGGATTAGTCACATTTTGGTACTGTTCATTTTTTACATGGCGTCACGCCAGGTAGAACCAAGCTCGGGTTCCCTCCAACTCACTGGATCAGTGCAAATTTCTGCCAACTCGGGTTCTTTGTTTTTTCTTCTTCTTTTGAGTGTTTGAAATTGGATTCCCTTTTCTTTTTCTGATTTACTGGGTCTTTTTTTCTTGGTTATTATTGATGATTGATTGTTCACATTCTGCAAGTTCGATTTATGATGAAGTTTTCCCTGTGCTTGACGAAGAACTAAAGAAGTGAGTTTTGTGTCAATGTATTAGTTAATTGAGAAATTATACGTTTTACTTTTGTTTATTGTTTAAGGATTAAATAAATAAATAATTTTAAATATTATAAGTGAAATTTATTTAAATTATGAATTATTTTAAATTATGATTCAATCGATAAAATATATAAATTTTAAGAATTAAAATTATTATTATATCAGACCATATATGTCACAACCTTTATTAAGTTTTAACGAAAACGTAACAACCCTAAACCAAAATTAGAAAATATAAATAATCATATTTGCAAG